GAGAGGCGCGCGAGCGAGCGAGCACGCGTGGGAGAGAGGCGCGCGAGCGATCGAGCATAAATTGAGCTGAGTTGAAATTGAAATCGCCGAATATTGAAATGTGGTTTAATTGAAAGTTGTGTGTTAAAATTTGCTGAAGTTTGAGAGCCATTAGTTAAAATAAAAGTCACGAGTTGAGCTTCGGGGAAAATCAAAAGATGTGTGTGAAATCGTTGTTGGAATTAAAAGCCATCAAAGAACCATGAATCATTTTGCATTGGTTAACAGATAAGATACGTACTGTGCAACCTTCTGGGTCGTTAATTCTACCCATTGATGCGGTCAAGCAGTTTTCATGATATCAGGAGCGTATAATGACAAATTGTATTTGTCATGTATTTGTCATTATACGCTCCTGATGATATCTATATCATCTTGCAGGTAATACTCAGCTAGTGAAGGCAGTCATCTGTGCTGGACTCTACCCAAAGGTTGCCAAGCTAGACAAACTGACATCGAAATCTCGTTTTGTGTGAGTGGTAAACTATTCGCATGCAGCTGGCCTACTGCGTCGCGCGTACTTAACTACATTCAAACCTGTGTATAAGGTTCCCTCCAGGATTAAACCTAAGTGTGGCCTTTATAGACAGGTGTTCATCCTACAGAGTGGTTTTACGGTGTAACTGCCACGCAAGGGATATTCCAACTGTCCTTTATAGACAGGTGTTAATTCTACAGAGTGGTTTTACGGTGTAACTGCCATGTAAGGGATATTCCAAGTGCCTTTTATAGATAAGTGTAATTTTGATAGAGGTGTTGACTAACGCAGGTTTAAATGTATTGTGATAATGATAATCGGTGGGACCTAATTAGTGAAAGTTTATATGTGATGGCGAACATGAGAAATTAAGTAGGGGTGAAATTGGTAAGGGAATATCACCGGATTTTATTGGTGATTGTACTCGCATAGGTGCTCCCAGCCTGTCCTTAAATGAAGCATGCATGTTCGTCAATATCAACGAGTTATTTCATGTAGAATGGGTTTAACATCAGCAACAGTGGATGTTTCTGTTTTATCTTCATTATAATCCTTATATTTATTACTATCTATATTTGTAATCTTATCATATTTTCGTTTATATCCGTAGCTAAGGCAAATTGTTGACTGTTATGATATATATATATATATATATAAATATATATATAACCCATGATATATAATATACCCATGATATATAATATCATTATTTATTATGTGTATATTATTATTCATAACGTTTTCATTATATCTTCAGCCTGCCAAGGCTGTCAACTAAGACCGATGGCACGGTGAAGATCCATCCAAAGTCAGTCAACGCGGAAGAGAAGGAGTTTGATTCACGCTGGATTGTCTACCACCTTAAGATGAAGACTGCCGCCGTAAGAGTCCGGCAGACGTTCTTAATATCTGAGCAGTCGATGGGGAGGAGTCGGTGCTGCCATCGTGTGACCATAATCTTAACTGCTAATTATTACTGGTCATTACTACAGGGCCCAAAAATATTCAAAACAGTAGTAGTCGATATATATATACAGCTTGTTGTATACGTCTGAACTGATCTAGCTGACCTGTATATTTGGGTCACACTTATGACACACCTAATTGACTCCACTTGCTTCAACCCACTCACGGGCCCTCCCCCCATCCATCCATAAACGCGATCCCTTGGAATTTTTGGCCCCAGGTGAACCCTGATATACATAGGTACGCCCGTACTTCTGCATTTACACAACACAGACACGTTCACACTTACACATAGAATTGAACTGATTTCAAATAGATCATCAGGCCAGCTTAAGTCTGTACTAAAAGACAGCATACACTAAGACGACGTCGTTGCGTCATGACGCTGCCAGCGCCACCTGTATAACGCTGCATTGCTCTTATGTTTGCAGGTCTACCTGTTCGACACGACCAACATCGCTCCCTGCCCGCTGCTGTTCTTCGGCGGGAGGCTGAGCATCCGCAGTGAGGAGCGCGGCGAGATGATCGTCATCGACGACTACATTGAGCTGCACGTGCCAACGTGCACTGCCTACGTCATCAAGGTCAGTGTCACACGCACCGCCAACGTCATCAAGGTCAATCGTGTCATGCCAAGGTCAGAGGGCGGCCAGTCACGCATATATACGTATTTTATATATGCATATATATATATATATATACATGTATTTACATATATGCATATGTGTATATATAATATATATACACATGTAACAAACCCAGCATGTTGACATTGATGATGTTGATGTTGATGTTGTTGGGTTTGATGATGTTGTTGACATTGATGTTGTTGATTGATGTTGGCATTGATGTTGTTGCTGTTGTGAGCATTGTTGTTGTTGTTGTTGTTGTTGTTGTTGTTGATGTTGTTGTTGTGAGCATTGTTGTTGTTGTTGTTGTTGTTGTTGATGTTGGTTGTTGTTGATGTTGCTGCTGCCGTCGGCGTTGTTGTTATTGTTGCTGCCATGAGTGGGACGTTGTGATGAGACCGTGATGAACGTAAACATTGTCACGCGATTTTGTGACATGACTGCAGCGATTTTGCGGTGACGAAAACCATCGTCACCACCTCCCCGAAATTCACATTCTCGCATATCCAAATTCGGTCGTCGTTGTATTTCAGGGACTTCGGCGCGAGCTGGATAACATCCTGGAATACAGGATAACTCATCCCGGGATTACCGACTGGACGTCTACGACAACAGAGGGTGCAGTGCTGAGAGCGATCGTCGATCTACTCACAACCGAGGTTGCCACTATAGTGAAAGATATCCAAGGGAAAACACTGCCAGTGATTGGATGAAGGCTATTAGCTATTAGGCAATTACTATTAGCAGAATTTCACATGGAGAGCAGGAGAAATTCAATTATGAAAGTTATATTTATATTTTATGTAATTATGAACGCACAGCTAGCGAAGTAATTAACAATCGCAGATCAGGGAATGATCGATGTGTAGATTCTCGCTTCATATTATATGTGTATTGTGCAATCAATCGTTATTTATGCTGTACAGGATACAATCCACGCGGTGGCCTCGTGTATGTGTTGCCATAGTGACCAGGCTGTATAATTTATGTTAGTAGTTGTAGTTTGTTTATGTTATAGTTCTAGCTGTTTAGACTGTAAAGGCTGCATCAGTACGTAAATTCATGTTTTTTTGTTTTATTCTTGCATTCCATTTGCGTCATCGCATATAAAAGCGATTAAAACCACGAATAGAAACACAGGAGACGGGCAGCTATTTGAAATGGACACGATTACAGCTGTATTCGACAAACAGATCTTAGTTACGTGTGAACATAATACAGAACAGTGAATAAGGAAATGTCTACACACAATGCTCACGAATTTCTCAACGCGTCTGCGTTTCGTGTACAGACGCCGCTCGATCGGCAGCCGCCTAGGCAAACCGTGACATTGGTGCTGAAGCCTGACATACCTGCACATGCTCCTTCTCATCCGATCCCCGGGGGGGGGGGCACTCCATATATATAGTATGGTAGGTATGTGCCGCGGGAGAGACCCCCCTTTTTCACCCTAAACTTCCGTTCCAGTGCATCGCATTTTTAAGAATATCTCGTTCCAGAGCATCACAAGTTGAGTTACCATGCAGATCTTACATTTTTTACATTTCGAACATTGCGAGTTCCAGAGCAAGAGAATTTTCACACATTCAACAAACATTAGTTCCAGAGACCCCCATTTTCAGGTCAGAGTTAGTTCCAGAGCCCCCCATTTTTTACTTTGCAGTGGCACATACCTACCATAATGTGGGGTGAGTGCCCCCCCCACCGGCCATCAGATTTCTAATCAACAGCAAATAATACTTGTAATCCTTATTGCGCTCTTCGTTTGTCCTCATAATTACAGCGATAGACGCTCGTTCTCGTGTTTCGTTCGCGAATCGTCACACGGGTATATGCACCGTGTTATAGTTATCTGTCACTAACTTACAGCGCGTTGCTGCGTCGTACGTAAAACGAGTGCGCGTACGCTTCGCACGGTCATACGGTCCATTTTGGAATGTAAGAAATAGTCATAATAAATACATCACAACGTCAACTGCACGACCTTACAGAGGGAGGATTCGATTCGCGGACTGCCGAGAGCTGCCCGAGTTATCAAGGTTTAAATACGTATCATTAATATAAGCTACGACGTTTTGGAATGTACGGCGCAGGGCGTATTCGGGTGAACAGTGGGGTGCCTATAGGAGTATATAAGCCCGTGCCTTACCTAGCCGTATACAGCACAGTCATACGCACGCACGCACACGCACGCACACTGACGTTGTAAATAATACCACTATACCGTAGTAACAAGTAACTAGAACCATTAATAATTCATCTTCGGTAAAAGACCATGTGAACTATGTTATTGTTAATGCTGCCATATGATGGCCTTGCTCAAACACTGCCTGCGACCATACTACGATAGACTGCAAATTGTCTCTCGCGACGGATGCGCATCTAGCAAGGGATCGGTGCGCAACAGGCATTTAAATAACGGCTCGTTACAAACGCGAATAATCACTCTGTAATAGTAACATCAAACTGCAAAAATGTTTCCTGGGTACACATTTTCCTAGTGTGTGTGTGTGTTGGGCATGACCCCCTCCCCTTCCCTCCTCGCCCCACGCTACACTCCATCTTACCACCATTATACAGGGTTCAGTCTCGCGTTGTTCTCCAACAAGAGAACAGCAGTGATTCGACGCCAAAGACGAATTAATTTCTGGGGTTGGCAGTGACGGCAGCAGCCATGGCGCCAATGATGACGATGACGACTTTTGCCATATGCCTTCCTATATAGTTGAAACATGATACGAGGAGCTGTAAGAAGGGTGGTAGGCACCTACGAGTATGGCGTCGACAGGGGAAGGGGCGCGGATCACGCCGTTGTGGTACAAGACTCATGTCACAGCAAAGATTTCGGACTAATCAAACGGGTACACGCACACACACTCGAAAGGTTACCAACAACCACAACCACATTAATAAATAAGAATGACTGCTTATACTTTTAAGCATATATAGTTCTAACAAATAAAATGTATTCGCCCCTCGTTTCTACCAACGAAAGCCAACTTTCACCGTCAACGAATAATAACGAAATAGTGTCGATTTTCCCGCTGCGCACGGAAACGGAGCCGGCTGCTTTGATCATAGGCTCGTTAGATTTTGTAAGCGTCTGCTAACATCGACCCCCCTCCTTCCCCGGAGGCTCCCGCGCAACAATCGTCACACACGTCTAACTAAATACATGCTATTCCGAGGGGCAAACACATTTCAGCCTGCACCAGAGGGCGCATGCCGTGCCGAATGCTTGCCGATACAGCGTGTACATGCAGCACAATCAGCGATACCATTTCCATCATTTACATCCTTTTTCAATATGCACTACAAAGTGCACGCAACTCCACCGGAGAGAATTTTTCGACGGCACGATAACATGCGACTAGTGGTGCCCTTAACCGCTTGCGTGACTGAAATCGCACAGAAACGCACGCGTGCAAACACGAATACGCCAAAACAAATCTACCCTTCCCCCCCCTCCTCGCCCTGTTACACCGCGAGCCTTAAAAAAGGCATCGCCTTTTATTAACACCGTCACTTGTAATTTACACGTGTGATAAATTTACTCTAACGGTCGCGCAAGAACAAGTCACGATAAGTAATGACTATATATGCAGTTGGTACCTACGCACGCTGCGATTATACATGCCGAGGGAGCGGCAATCTACATAGTACTGTCATTTATAACCGGAGTTGCCCATTCTGATACAGTATTCGCCACAAACACCGCGCAGGCTAGAAACAGTAACAATTTTCCAAATTTGTTTGTACATCTTTAAAAATACGAAAAGGTTAGAAACGTCCGACTAGTTGTCGCCATAAAACGCACCGTTTCACATGCACGACCACGTACATGTACACACACACACACACGCACACACACACACACACACACACACACACATACACACACACAGATCCAGCAATAACTAACTACTACATAATGCGCCCACCCCTTCCAGCCTCGTCCGCGACAGAAAAGTGCATTTGTTGGGAAAGGAAACTACAATGTGAAACAACAGGACAACGTGAAATTCGACACAAGGGACCGCGTCAACGACAAGACCGCCAGAGACATGATCCGTCGCAGACGATCTCCTCAGCGAAGGTGCCGTGACAAAGTCTCGACAGAACTCCAACAGATGGCGCCACCGTCGCCGCTAAACCGAGCGATAATAAACCGACGAAGCGCAAATGTTTTTGTTAGCGTACTCTGCAGGATTGTTATCCGTATACATGCGCACGCGTGCCGAATCGTGCGCGCGCGCGATTCAAGCGCGAACCAGAACGTTACGAAAGATGATCGTTGCGGACAGGATGCGATCACAAGCCGGCGGCGGTGGCGCCCCCTGGCGGGGCTCAGAACGACGACGTCTCGCACCGTCGGTCGCGGCTGCACGCTGGCCGTCCCTCGATGTCATCCTTGTCGGGCCGCTGGTAGTCGTCGTGACACAGGCTTCCCTCGTCCTCGTCATCGTCCTCGTCACCACTCTCGCTGTCATCGTCGTCATCCTCATCGTTGTGCTCCTGTCACGCAAAACATAGATCGCTCAACCTGATTATACATGTCATTAATTATCGATGGGCACATTACTAACAATTTGTACACAGGCACACCCACACCTACCCACACAGTACCTACCGATGTATATATAATATATTATATATACATATAAGTGTGTGTGTGTGTGCGTGCGTGTGTGCGTGTGTGCGCGCGTGTGAGCGTGCGTGTGTGGCCGACTAGCATAAATATATTCATAGGGTTACGGGTTAGGGGTTGTGCTCAGCTGGATAAATCGATTGCAGATGTAAGATATCGAAGGCAACTGGCGTATCAATGGCCATCGCTTAATGACAGTCTACATCAGAAACCGGTGAGAGCGACGTGCAAGTAAGACAAGCAGAAGATGGCGATTATGACATACTTGCCTAGGCCTGACATTTGTGGTGGCATACCTCTACAGGGTTGACAACAAAGGTGACATTAATATATGGGGTTGACAGTGACACACCTGCACGGGGTTGACGGTGAAGGTGAACGATAGCCTGCACTGGGGTTGAACCGGTGATGGATGAACATACCTTGCATGGGTGTGAGCGATATGGGTGACATACCTGCAATGGGGTTGACAGTAGTGTGTCAAGCGGGTGTAATAACTTCGTTAAATCGATCAATCGGGTTGAACCCGAATAGATCCGATATCGGCTTAACAATCGTACCCGGCGGTGTTTGAATGCCTGGCGTGTGCGTACGCGCGTGCATGTACGTCAATGTCATGTATGTGCTTTTAGGACCCTATTACTGTTTGTTTGCACTGGTTCACTGTGGTAAAATAAGACATATACCTGATTCTATCACTGTTTCCAACGTTTCTTGTTCAATAATTTTTTATTTTTCATGTTTGATGTAAATGCGATTACGGGATTTGATTAACTCATTGGCCTTGTTGCGAGCCCCCTGTCCAATCGACCGATTGATAATTCGAGTATAATCGATGATTCGTGACATCAGCTATTTGACAGTGACGGTGACAATACCTGCATGGGTTGGACGGTGATGGTGACAAAATACCTGCATCTGGTTGTGTGAATAGTGACATACGCTGGATGGGTTGCACGAGTGACGGTGACATCACCTGCATGGGGTTGATCGTAATGTGACATTACCTCATGGGTTGTCGTGATGGTGACATACCTGCATGTGAGTTGACAGTGAGGTGGACAGCTACCTGTCAGCGTGGTTGACGGTGATGGTGACATACCGTGCATCGGGGTGTGACAGTGATGGTGAGCCCCCAATACCTGCAGTGGGTCATGACGGTGATGGTGACATACCTATAATGGGTTGACAGTGACGGTACAAACGACTTGCTCAGGGGTTGCAGTGCCGGTGACATACCGCAGGTTGTGCGTGACGTGACCATACCTGCATGGGGTGACGGGTAGATACCCTGCATGGGGGACGTGATGGTGATGAATCAGCTTCAGCACTGCTCCTCTGCGACTCTTGCAGTCCATCGCGTCTGCTGCGTGTGTGCGGAGCGTGACGGATGCACCCCCGACAACCTGACCCATGAAAGACGAGGAAGCCAGACGCGAGTGAGGACGATGACGGTCACCGCGTACCGCTCCTAACGATCCGACGCCACTTTGTCACACATCCCGTCACTTCCTCCTATGCCGCTAACACCGGCAACCACGCAATGCACATGTACGGACGACAAGCCTGCACACGCATGGCAACCTACGCGGTGCACGCGCACACAGTCAAAGTAGAACAGAGCCATCAGCTCATATGCATGCCGCGCTGACCGCACAGTGTTCACGATCGGCGCACGCACGCATGCGACAAACAGACGTGCACACACACGAGCAGTCGGCCGCACGCACCCAATGCGCGACGCAACTGGACACAAACGCACGCACACACATCTTCAATGCAAAGCACGCACGTTGCACAAGGATGCAGTAACATAAGGCGCCGGCGCACGATTGGCGCGCACAGGTATACACAACCACAACCGACAACAGTGTGCAGCACAGAAGAGCAAGAGACACACAACACGCGCACGTCACGCACGCGCAACGCACACGCACACGCACCCGCACCACCGCACCACACACCAACCACCGGAACACCGCACACCATACACCACATCGCACACGATGACAGCGCAGACCCACCCACGGACCTGTATACTCACCGACTGTGCTACTGCTGTGGTGCAGGGAATCCTTGCCTCGCAGTTCGTGCAGCGAGTTCTCGTGGAATCGAGGAATGTTGACATGCATATGCTGCTGCGCCGCGTGGTAGGCACGCTCAGGTGGCTTCGGATGAGAGTGGATGACACTCAGCTGAAAAACACGCGCAGATATTTAAATACATCCATAACCTGACGAAGATTTATTATAAAATAAGTTCATTCGATTAAATCATCCGATTAAATAAGTTCATTCGGTTGGTAGACTAATAGATCTGATTGGGTTAATTGTTACTCAACCGTGAAGATTGAAAACGTACAGCTGACGTTTCGCCTCCTGACAGGGGGCTTTCTCAAAGCTGACTGACGATTATCAGTTTTGACCACCAGATGGTGTGGTGGTCTGCAGCTTGGTCCACACGTTTTTCAATCTTCACAGTTGAGTAACCCAGTTAGACCTGACGAAGATTCACCACGATACAAGAATAAGATGTGATATGCTTTTATCGGCTCTCAGGTGGCCCTTCTCTTTGGCATTAAATTCTCCATTAGATTATGGCTTGAAATGATGATAGGATCACGTATAAAATTAGTAGGTGCATGTACGTGCGTGTTACTGTTAGGAGGAGGCAGATCTGGTGGGGGAAGGCCATGTGGAACTGTTGACTGGCCTTGCATCTGCACTTTGTAATTATGCGTACATAACCCACGCCATCCAAGCAGTTTCATTAGCATAACTACTATATGCGATCCCAAGCAGCACGATAAACCATGCACCGTGAATGACGAAGAATTGACGACGATATGAATGAATAGCTGGCGATAAAACTGCAGACTCAATTTTCCCCCGAGCTTTTCTAGCTGTCAGCGTATCTCACAGAAATGCTGACAGTGAGGCCGCAACAGAGTTTGAGTAATAGAAGTTGCTCGGCAATCGAGTTATCTGCCAATTAAGTTATGCGCAAACGTTCTAAACTCGTCTGCATCAAGCGCAATCATACACCCGGTTTGTGGCAATTCTAACTGATGTGCGCGCCCACATGCCGTTTGTAATTAATTCATACAGGCACAGCAGACTAGCTAGTAACAAATATAAATGTGATAACGCTTTTTATAATATGCTTTAATAAATTTATCTGTCGACATTTCACATCAGATTATGAAATCGATGCTTTTGTGCATGCAGCGGTCTAGGATGGCATACGTGGATGCAGAGCAGGGTGTGCAGCCAGGCAGGGATAATGTGTAAATAGGGGAGTACATACACTACTATGGAATCGTATGGATGGATACACAGGGAAATGGAGGGCGTGCATGCACGGTGCGCACATGTGCACGTGGGTTGGTGTCGTCATGTATACACACTGCATAGGAAGTGGGGTGGAGTAGGG